CCGGGCCCAGGAGTCTGTGTCGGTAGCCCTCCAGGTGACTCTGGAGAATGTTAAAATTGGAGAACCACTGAAGTCCACCAGGACATTGTATAATTGGGGAATCTGAGGCCTAGACAGGAGGATGGGTTTATCTACGTCCCCCCAGAACCACATGCAGAGGTGGGACAGGAACTCAGGTGTCAGGAACGCCCCCTCCCCCTGCGCGGGGGGGGGGGGGGCGGGGTGGGTAGAGCTGGGATGGTGTATTGAGGTCCCTGGAGGTGGAGAGGAGGAGCAAGGGTCACATTTTCTGAGAAAGGGGGCTCTTTACTTCTATAGTCCGGGGGGCCTCTCCTTCCTCAGGGCTCCTTCCAAGTTAGTGAGATCTAAGGCATGAGTCTGTGCTGAGGCTTGAGGAGGGGGCCGTAGATGCTCTGGTCTGGGGGCTGCCGCTAACAGACTCCCTCTTTGACCAAAATTTAGTCAGGCTTCTCTGAGACCTTTTCTCAACTAGGCCTCAACCTTTGCGTTTCCACGTCCATCTTTGCATCACGCAGTTTTAGCAAGAATCCTGCTATGTCAGTTTAGCAAGAAGAAGGCTGAGGCCCATGACTCAGCCAGGATCAGATTCATCACCGGCCCCCAGCCCTCTGACCCAGGACCCCAGTGCACATCTTTGACGCCTCTGTCATGGCTCCTGACTGACTGATCAGGGATCCCTTGATGAGTCTGACTCTGAGCCAGTGCTCTGGACAGATGTCTGCTGAGGCACCGTGAGAGCAGCTGTTGATTCTTGAGATTCTGCGCACACTCTCTGAAGCTGGGTTAGAGCTCCAGGCTGCTTTGTCTGAAAGATATCCACTGGGCTGGAAGTCTTTCTTCTTGCCTCTGTCTTTTGAGTGAGGATTCACTTCCTGACTCCCTGGACCAGAACAATTTCCTGGCTCTTTGGGAAGCCTCTGTTCTCTCTATTTGATCCGGTTTCTCCCGAGAGAACTTCTCGGCCGACTGAAAACCCTGTTCTCGAACTTCTGCTGAATTTGGAACTTCACTGGCTTCTTTGGGAAACCTGAGATCTCCCCAAAGTGGCTCCTGTAAGACCCCTCCCCTCCCATCTCCTCTGCTTACCACCTTCCACCTTCCCTTCAGTTCCCTTGAATCCTTTGATGTGGTGGAGGAGGAGGAATCTGAATCCTCAAGTCCTTGAATCCATCCTTTTCCGCCCCTGCCAGACCTTTTCCCTGTCCGCTCCAGCCCCTCAACTCCCTACAGGCATTTGAACTCTAGGCTCCTCGGTCCCCCCTCAGGGCTCTCCAGGGACTCAGGGGCCCCTGAGAGCAGCTACCTGAAGCTGAAAAGGGAAAAAAAGCTCATTGGAAACACATTGGATCCTGTGTCCACTCAGATGGACTTTGGAGACATCTGGGTGGCTGTTGGATGTCCCCTCAGTCCCTTGTCTCAGATGCAGGCCACAGCCTCCTTAAGGTGACCTATCAGGGCAAATGCAAATCTTAAAAGTCTCCTCCACAAATATTGGCACAAAGCTTTAGCCTCGCATTGAGTATGTTCCCTCAACTTGTCCCGCCTGGTAGAAACACAATTCAGATAAAAATATAAAGGGGAGCAAAGATGAGATCCAATTGTTTTATATAAACCAGTGAGTTTGTGTCACTCTGTTTTACTCATTCATGGTTAACATTTTAGAATGAAACCTATTCAATCTCTATTTGCATCTGTCAGTAGGTATATGTATATACGCATGTAACACATATGTGATACTTTTCTACTCAAGATTGTATTACCAAATTAATGTATGAAATCTCTTAAAGGAGTTCTATTCGAAACGGCTTAGAGATAAATAGCACTTAAATAAATTAAGTATTCCTAAAACACCCAGAAATAAGGAAACTAATCCAAATATTTTTCAAGTTCATGTGATTTGAGCAAATCTTTGATGAAGAAGACCAGTTTAACATCACTTGTTTAATGAAAACAGCTATGTCTTCTGAATTATCAGCATTAAAGTATCACGTGAGTACACATTTTATTCTACTTGGGCTTAGTAACTAAATAGGGTAGTGTCACACCTACTAGAAGTTTACGATTATCCAAGTTATAAATTCAATCTGGGAACGAATGTAGAGATGAGGTAAGGCAGTAAAAACGAATTGCTTAACGTCCAACACATCGTACAGATCAAGCAAAGCGGTAAAACAGGAAATCCACGTCTTTAACTTTTTTTAGGTTTTTACTTTTATGAAACTTGCTCAACATGCGTGGGTTGTAAAAACAGGTAACAGGGAAATAGCCTGAGATGAGGGCTTAGCTTTGTTTAACGTTGTAATTATGTCTGCCTAAGGACAGTTTCCCAAATATTGTTAGTAACTCGCAACCCTAGAGTTGTGCTAAATTAAATGAAAATTAATATGAAATGAAAATGAAATGAAAATTAAATAAAGTAAATATTTATTACTTCATTTAATTTAGCACAACTCTAGGATTGCGAGTTCTAGATCACTTCTAAGTAGGATAAACTACTGAAAAAATAATTACTAAGCATAAGTTTAAGCTTACATACTTTTGGCTTCTTGTTTTTATATGGTATAGAGTAATATATTTGAGTATGTTAATAAACATGGAAAGTTGTACCAGAGGAAGCATGCGTTTCTAGAAATCGTGATATGGTATACCCATAAAACTTGCTAACTTACTATAGAATGTTGATATGTGGAAGACAGTTAGCAATTGTCTACTTTCTAATTTTCACTGAAAATTAAGGTTACTAAGGGTTAAGAATTCTAATCAATATATGTAAATGAAACTACAAGGAATAATAAGGATGAAGAAAAAAACTATATGTAAAATAGGCAAGAATGTAGGATATATTTTTGTTAAGAAAAAAAGAGTAATCTTGTCTTAAAGTAGTTGTTTAGAGGTTGTTTAAAAGTTGTTCTAGAATGAGAAAGGAAAATACAGGATGAAAAAATTTGAGTGGATATAGAAAATTGTAGAGGGTTTATGGAGAAAGAATTTTATGGGCAGTCAAGCTGGCTAAGAGTGATTTGTTTTTAAGGTTTTTAAAAATGAGCCTAGTAGCATACTGATACAAAACTAGAATTTGGTTTTCACTCTGTTAAAAGAACAAAGTTTTCTTGGATTATTGGTCTGCTTTTAATAAGAAATTGCACAAGGTTTTTCTTTACTTTTTGATTTACTGCCTAGGACACAAAAGTTTTCTGTTTTAACAGATTAATTTATATTAATCACATCACGTCATTGATTATTTAAGAAAACCCAGACTTCGCACTTTAAAAAAACTTGGGTTGGGCCGGCCCAGTGGTGCAGCAGTTAAGTTGTCACGTTCCGCTTTGGTGGCCCGCTTTGGTGGCCCAGGGTTTGCCAGTTCGGATCCCGGGTGTGGACATGGCACCACTTGGCATGCCATGCTGTGGTAGATGTCCCACATATAAAGTAGAGGAAGATGGGCACAGATGTTGGCTCAGGGCCAGTCTTCCTCAGCGAAAAGAGGAGGATTGGCAGCAGATGTTAGCTCAGGGCTAAGCTTCCTCAAAAAAAAAAAAAAAAACACTACGGTTTTTTTTGTTTCATTTTTACATCTTTGACAATTTCACCTTCCCAAAATCAAATCCTAAATGAAATCTTGATCTCAAACTGACCTTGATCTGGCCCTTTTCAGAGGGCCCCTGGAACATCTCAAAGGATTTGTTCTTTCACCTTGTACAAAGAGTGATGTTAAAAACAATTTAGTTTCCTTGACCTGTTGAATTGCATGACAGGCATTGTCGAATAAGAAGACATTCTTAAACTTTTTCTGTTATATTTGCATGGGTAAATATTTTTAATTAATATAAATATTTTAGAAATTACATGAACTTCATAGAAACTTGTCAATGCCCTTGCTATCCATGAAATGTTCTACCATAATAT